AACCCTAACCTCCTCCCCCCACCGCCACCCACCTACCCCCCCCCCAACACACGGACACACAAAACAACTATATAATCTCTCTTCCTCCCTCACCTAAAAGGGTGGTCATTTTATTTCTTTAAAAAAGAGAAACTTAGAGGAGAAAACACTCTCTCAAAAACCTCAAAGCCTTCATAGCCACCACCACTCGGAACTCTATACCCACCATCTAAAACCACCCAAAGTTGTTGAAAACAACCTTCAAAACACCTCAAGCTCACCTTACATCCTCTCGTTTCTGCTATAACCACAACCTCACTTCTCCTTCTCTATTTCTACCGACTAGTACCCCTTTATTCCACACAAATCTACCATAGCAATCCCTCCGAAAGCCACCATAAAATGTGATCCAATCTCTCTTTAAGTATTAGGTTTATTCTTATACTATTGGTTATAAAATTTACTTAATTTTTATTTTTATTTTAAAAACTTCATATGAATAAAAAATAGAAAATAAGAAAAAAAAAGAAGAAGCAAAATGATCTCCAATCGGGTTACAACATATGCTATTAGTTAGTTGATTATTATTAAAAATAATAATTTTTATTTGAAAATATGTTTATTAGGGTATATATATAGAGAGAGTTTATAAAATCTTAAGATCTTACATTTTGAGCCCACGATCTAACTTTTTTAGACTCTTCAACCATCCAATTAAGAAAACAATTCTAATAATCTTATAGGAAACCTTAAGGTGTTGTTTAGTTACTAGAAACGAAGCTATGAGAATACCAAAGATGTGGTTGGATTTCCTTAGATTTTCTTTCTTTCTTTTCCTTTTCTTTCTTTTTTCTTTCTCTCTTTCTTGCCATTTTTTTCTCTCTCCCAATTTGGTGGTTTTGGTTTGCTAAAAAAATTTACACCGACTTAACACTTCATATATATATATATACACTTACTTTCCCTTTTAAGTGAATTAAGTTACAAGTGTTGAAAATTAATGGGACAAGATGTAAAAATTATGGTGAGTCATGTAAAAGGTGACGGATTTGGGACAAAAAAAAAAAGAGTGAGTTGGCTATTAATTCATTTAATGCATTGCTTAGGTGTCTAACTAAAATTTAAGTTAACTATACACCTTAATTAACTTGATTCAAGTAAATAAACATAGTTTCCTTCATGAAATTTCAAAAATTTCTTTTTTTAAAACTTGAAAATTCCTTGTCCATTCTTTTTTCAAAAATTCCAGCAGTGATGCTTCAAGACAAGTCTATACTAAAATGGTCATAACTCTTTATATATAGGTATAAAAATTATAAAATTTACGGAGAGTTAGTAGAAACATAGACGAACAACTTTTATGCTTTAAGTTTTAGCTAGAAATCACTCTAAAGTCTTTAAATAAATCATATAAAATTCGGACATAATATAGTCCTCGGCACATCGATTTTTTTTTTTTACGGGGTTACACTTGGGTGTGTGAGTTATTATATAAAAAATAATGAAGTGGTGAGAATGTGAATGAAATTTTTATTTCCACATTATAGTTGTTTAATTGAAATAAACGAAGTGAGGACGTGAATGAAGAGTGAAAAATGAGAATAAAAATTGCACATAGCTTCATTCTTATTGGAAAATAAGAATAAAAACAAAAAATATGAATGAATTTTGTTTTTTCAAAATAATAATATGTTATTTTATATATTATTTTTTTATAGTGTATTAACTACTTTTACTACAACCATAATCACCACCACCACTATCTTTATTGATGGTGATGATAAAAAAAAAGTTATTATTAGTATTATTATTCTATCATCACTTCTCTTCTACTTCGACTACCATCACTTTTATTATAGTAGCACCATAGTCACCTCTTTTCTTTTATTGTCACCTTCTATAATGATAGTATTAATTTTTTTTAAAAATACATTATTATTATTATTATACTGTTATTATTACCACCTTTTCATCCTCCTCTTATTAAAATAAAGAATTAGAAAATGCATATATATTAAAAAAATTGGAGATATATATAAATAGTCGCCAGTCATCATCAAAAAACTCACACTTTCTTCTGCCAAAGCATACATCTATTTATATTTAGTGACTTCTAAATATAAACTATCGTCGCCAAATGGTTCACTATCATCTGTTCCCAATATCAGATGTCGTCCTTGCGCTGTCTTATTTCTCTCTGCGTGCTCACCGGTCCCCACCTGACCTCATTATGTATTGCTGTACACTTCATTGCACCTGGAATTATATAATTACAAGTGGACTGTTGCCAGATTGCTAACGCGCATGGTGTGGACCCCATTCTAGCTGTCTTCCAATCAGCAATTGGGGTGCCTATCATAAGCTTGATGTAGTGGACAAAGACCTAGTCCAACCTAATTTTTTGAGTTTAATCACAAAAATTAGCTCCGGAATTTGATAATTTAAAAATTTTATTATCAATTTATATAATTTAAACTCTAAATATTAATTTTTAGGTAAATTTTATTCAAATCCATTAGTTGTAACGGTCAACTCAATTTGATTGTTAATTTTTTCTATTGTTTTTTTTTTGCTCTTAATTTTTTTAAAATGTTAAAAATACTTTTCTTCTACTTTTCAAAAGATATTCTTTACTGTTTAAAATTTTTACATATTAATCCTTTTAATTTTTCAAAATCAAATTTTTATTTATATATATTTTTTAATTTTAAAAAATAACTTTCAAGTAGTATTATTAACCATTAAAACAATTAACTTCTATCGTCAATAAAATATAAATATCTATTGGTTGAATTTGAACAAATGAAATTATCAAATAATTAATTTTAACTAAAATTTTCTTTTTTCATGTTAATAAATTTATTTTTGTAATTTGTAATTATTAAATTTTAAATATAGTTGTATTTATTTAATATTTTTTTATCTTCACATGTTTTATAGGATTTTTTTCTCACAATTGATTCAAATATATAATATGCATTTAAAATTGTTAGAGTTAGAAAACCATTTTTTTTAAATTTTCTAATTTTATTTTATTTTATTTTTATTTTTTAAAGATATGTTCAAAAAGTGATTTTTTTTTAGAGAGAAAAAAATTTTAGCAATAAATTTGATATTTATAGATAAAAAGGTGAAAAAAAATGTCTATTGAAAAATGAAGGAGAAGGATTTTTAACTTTTTTTTTAAAAAAATCAATAGCAAAATAAAAATAACAGTAGAAAAAAACTAATATTCAACTAGATTGACTATTACAATTAACGGATTTGGTTAATATTTGTTCAAAAATTGATATTTTAGAATTCAAATTACATAAATTGATAATAAATATTTGGAATTTCAAATTGCAATATAACAATGTAATTTTCAACCAAAAAACCTGATTTTTAAAAGTCATTTGGTCTTGTTTTGAGTTGGCAGACACCAAATTTATGTTTCAAAATACCTTGGAAGGCATTTAAAATACTATGCCTTCTTACCAAACATGCTAAAATAATTTTAGATGTCTTAAATTAGAAGTTTTAGTTAATTTTTTTGGTAAATGCTTCTATATAAAAAATTATAGAATGATAATGTAATATCACGTAAAACTTTAGTGAATTGCTTCTACCAGTACAATTATTAAGCCATAAGACAGATTATGTGGTTTGATGGTAAAACTTAAAAAAAGCACTAAACTTCATGTTCGAAAATAAAAACAAATTTACAACAATATCTTTTATTCAAACAATCATACAAAAATTTCAATACAAAATAATATAAAAAATATTATTTTTCATACTTAACCATTTATTTGTTTTTTGTATTTGACAATACATGTATTTTCGAACTAGTTTGAATGGACATTAAAACTAAATCTATTTTCATTAAGACTAAGTCTCTCTAAAGGAAATTTAAAGATGGATCTGCTTAATGCATTAAATTAACTTTAATAAATTCTTTTCAGTGTTGTTCTTGAGATTTGAATCCTAAAAATTAAGAAGGAAGAGATTCTTAACCAATCATTTAATATTCGTGAGGCACATAATTTATCATCTGTCATCCATCTTATTTCTTTTAATGAGATTTTTTGTATGCATAACTTTTTTTTTTCTATATATACGGAATGCATTTTAAAAAAAAGTAACAATGGAAATTGTCTTACAGAAAATTCAAGTCAGAATTCTTACAAAAAAATCCATTATTTCTCAAAAGCAAAATAAGGATCGGTACCGTGATCAAATACATCTTCAGACTTCTAATAACTCTTTTCACACTTTTAAAAATCATTTTTATGCAGAACTTATTTCATTGATATATATATATAACAAAGAAAACTAATGAACATTTTTAAAAATTGTTGTCGTGCATAACTCATTTAATTGTAATAGATATATTTTTATTATAGAAATCTGTTAATATTGGTTTTCAATTTTTAGTTTTACCAAATAGTTTCGATTTTTTTTTCTTTTTTGGCTTTTTAATGCTTTTATGTTTTATAAAACATAATTTTTTAATATTTAGAACCAAAATTTAAAATTTATCCCTAACTAAGAGTCCTTATGAGTTTTTTTTATAAGGTTAACATGGTTTTTTCAAACTAATTTACACGTAAATAACGACCAAATAAAACCTAAAGAGAAGATGTGAAACATAAAACCGAAAAAGTCTCTCTCAATGGAGGCCGATCAAGGAATCTATTTTCCTCGTCACCTAAGCGGTTCTCTTTGACAATCCGTGTTTTTTTTTTATATTTATTTATTAATACAATCCTCGTTAAAACATCGACCAAACACTTGTAATAAATAAAATTTCATTATGATACTAATGTAATAAGAAAAATAACAACAATAACAATAATAGTAAATAATAATAATAAAAGTCGCTATACACACATATATAAACAAAGCCAGCCTGAAAAGTTCTCTGCTTCACATCTCTCTCTCCCTCTCTCTCTCCCCGAAATCTCTCGCATTAACCGAGTAAACTTGGCCGGGGGTTTGCTTCAGTTCCTCCAGCAAGTCGCCGGCTAGATTTTCCGGCAATGTGTAGTTTACGCAATTTATTTACTCCTCTACTCGCTGTATTACTACTTCAGTCATTAGTAGTTGCGGTCTCTGCTCAGGGATCTGCTAGTCCCTGGCAAACACTTAGCGGTCTGTCTTTGATTTTCTCTCTCTCTACCACTTACTCAAATTTCTCTCGCCCTCTAGATTTTTGGTTTGCTTGTTAGGGAAATGCATGTGATGTTCGATTATTATTATTATTTTCAGAATTGAAGCTTAGAAGTTACATTTTTAGGAGCGTTTTGTTTTTCTGTTTTAGTGTCTTTGAAAGTTTGGATGGGCCTTAAATAAATACTGAAAGTAGGAGATGCAATATTTTACTTTCTTTTTATTCTGTTTTGGTTGATTTATGATAAATAATGAAGAATAAGTAGGATTTGTGATAATTATTTCTGATTTTCACTTATGGTATTTTAGATCGTTAAACACCGTTTTAAGTAAGCATTATTAATTTTAGTTGAAATAAGGGACAACAAGATTGCTATTTCTAGAATAAGATTACTTTTTTTTTTTTTTTAATTGCCTTTAAATTCACAGATTAATTGATATCTTTTCTAGACAGGGAAAGCTGATTTTGCTCCACCAATAGCAAGCATGCGCTTATACACAATGAATTCTTGATTTTATTTATTTGGATAAATTACATTATGTCATTTATGGAAAAACTTCAATTTATTTGAGCTTTTGGATATTGGAATTATGGGTGGTTTTTCTTTTTTATTTTTACATTTCCCAAAGCAGAGGAGGTTCTATAACTTGACTACGTATATATTGAAATCTAGTCTGGGTTTCGTTTTTGTTTTTTTGAGAAATTTGACAAAAGAGCTGGTAAATAAATTTATCTCAACAAATTGGGTACACATAAGATTTTTGGTGCTTTCTACAAACTTCTCTGTTATGAATACCCAAAAATTGTGAACTTGGAACTTAAGTAATTCTTATATGAATTTGACGTGATCTTGTGTGTGCAATAGCATTCTCTGTTAGCGGACTTGAATGCTATGTTGCTGTAAATTTGGATGGATAAAAACATGACCCTAAAACACATTGAGTAGAGTCAATCTAGGTTATAAGTAAAAAGCTCACTAATTAATTTCATTCTGCAGGAAATCCCCCTTTGGTTGTAGCACGTGGTGGGTTTTCAGGATTATTTCCAGATTCTAGCTCAGATGCTTTCCAGTTTGCAATGATTACAAGTGTGCCGGATGTTGTCCTATGGTGTGATGTGCAGTTGACTAAAGATGGTGTGGGGATTTGCGCTCCTGATCTGAAGCTTGAAAATTCTACTAACATTGCACGAGTTTTGAAAAATAAGGACAAGCGGTATCTAGTTAATGGCGTTCCTACCCATGGATGGTTCACAGTGGATTTCACTGTCAATGATTTGTCACTCGTATCCTGTGAGTTCAGCTAAGACTTCAACTTTCTTTCTTGTGTTTATTGGTCATTTTTGGCTGGTCTATTTGTTTTCAATACTTCTTATAAAGTCTTATTATTACATGAAGCATGCATTTGTTAAAACCTTGCATGAATCTAGCGAACCAGCTGCTGTTTCCTTCTTTTTGTTGAAATTAGCAATGAATTCTCCATTCTTATTATGTATTATTTCTGTTGTTATAGTCCATTTGTTCATAAAGGTCGCTTGATGTATAAGTAATACTTTGTGATGGTCAAGAGATGAAAGAAATAGTTAATAACATTGGGTCATTTAGAGATAGCAGATTGTTTTATTGAAAATAGCATACTTCAATCAAATAGTTGAAGGAAAAACCAATGAAGGGTTTTGGTTTTGGATTTAGTTATGCCATTATTGATTTCCAAATTATCTTGACAGGGAGTTGCTCACTGGTCTGCGAATTGGATCTAGTTTGATATCCATGAGATTTATTATCAAAATTTTCGTCGCATAATAGTTTGTATGGATCAACTCTCTTTACTTCTGCTATTTCAACTGTCAAATTCTGATTCTGACATTTTTTTTTCCTTGACAGTGACTCAGGGAATCTATTCTCGAAGTGAAAGGTTTGATGGCATTTTTCCCATCCAAACTGTTCAGGATGTGGCTAGCTTAAAACCACCAGGCTTATGGTTGAATATTCAGGTAGACGAAACAATATAATTTCTCTTTTTATTTTACCACTACCTTTCTATTAACTTATTATCCTGAAGCCTTCTTCGCTGTTGTTGCTATTGTTCCCATCCCTTTAATTCAGTGCTCTGCCATCTATTATTTCAACCAATTTTTTTGTTCTGATAATTTTGCAGCATGATGCATTCTTCACACAGCACAATTTGAGTATGAGACTCTATGTACTTTCTCTATCAAGAAGTGTTGTCATTAATCATCTCTCTTCACCAGATGCGGGTTTCTTGAGAAGTATTGTTCCGAGATTCAACCTAAATATAACAAAACTGGTCTTTCGGTTTCTTGAACCAAATGTCATCGAACCATCAACAAATCAGACGTACAGTTCTCTCTTAAAGAACTTGACGTTCATCAAGAGATTTGCATCTGGAATTCTTATCCCTAAGTATTATGTATGGCCTGTAGATGCACGTAATTACTTACAACCTCATACTTCTATTGTCTCGGATGCACACAAGGCAGGGCTAGAGGTTTTCGTATCAGATTTTTACAATGACATTCCACTGAGTTATAATTACAGTTATGATCCTATAACTGAGTATCTCAATTTTGTTGACAATGGTGACTTCTCTGTTGATGGTGTGCTATCTGACTTCCCGATAACTCCATCTGCTGCTGTGGGTAAGCCGTATTATTCCTTCTCTCTAAGCATCATGGATCTGAACAGACCGTGAAATATTGGTCCAATCTAGTATTTTTCAACTTGAGTAACTGGTCAGTCGTTAGACAGTAATTTTCTTATAGGTGCAGTTTTTAGCTTGCATACCCTTAAACTTTCTACTGCTGCTGCTACTTGTAGTTTCTTACTTGACACTTGATTCCTTATCTGTGCATGATTCAAATTTTGGTGGAACTTAAAAGGTCTAGTACTATGACTGCTGTTGTCATTAATGCAGAGAAGCCATTGAGACAGTTTCTCTGCTTATGCTAGCTATAATCTTTCTTTGGAGTTAAGGATAACATCCTTTAACTTCTGTCTGGATAATTCGCCTAATCTGGAGGTTAAATATTTTTAGATGCTGATTTTTCCTTCTGTATTACAGATTGCTTTTCTCATCTAGGCAAGAATGCTTCAGTGCAAGGTGTGAAATTATTTTCTGATTCTTTTTCAGTAAGAGGTTTAACTTTAAAGGATATTGCATTCTTGGAACATTAGTACTTACCGTTTCCTTTCTCCTTGCTCATGGTTCAGTGCCCCTTTTGGTCATCTCAAAAAATGGTGCAAGTGGAGATCGCCCTGGTTGCACTGATTTGGCATACCAGAAAGCTATTTCAGATGGTGCAGATGTTATTGATTGTCCTGTTCAAATATCAAAGGACGGGATACCATTTTGCTTAGGCTCCATAAATCTTATTGAAAGTACAAAAGTTGCTCAAACAAGTTATTACAGTCGTTCACAGATTATTCCAGAGATTAAGGTGGGCAGTGGAATATTCACCTTTAGCTTGACATGGAATGAGATTCAGACCTTAACTCGTAAGTTAACCTGGTTAACTTTTACTTCTTTGCATTTTCAATCTTCTGTTGCACCCCCACTCCCAGTAAAACATGGATTTGTCCCCTTTTCATGCTTGAAAAAGTTTGGTTTATGAACAAACAACTATGTGGAGGGGCATTACTCAATCCTCACATTTTGCTAAAATAGAATTCTCAGTACTGGATGAAAAAGTCAAAATAATTTAGGAAATGGAGAAAGACATAAATAAAGCAGTGCCAGCCAAAAAATACATCCATCTGGAGCTCGAAGGCAATGATGTCTTGGTCGTGGGAGTAGCCAAGATCTCATAACCAGCCCTTCCCACCACTTGAGATTGAGAATTGTAAATACATGAAAAGAAATAGACATTTAAAATCCTTGGCACAATCATAAACACAAATGTCCTTTGCCCACCATTGTTTTGGTTTGGCTCTCTTTACATTTGAATATGTAGAATTTTGTGAGAAAAGGAACGGATATAATCCTCTGCTTTTTCTCTTGACCCCTGCCCTACTCTAAATTCTGCTTCATAATCTAGTTGCTATTGGTTGAATTCCATATCTTGTTTTTCTTAGTGTATGTATGAGTGTCCAAATGTTTTTATTGAAGCTGTGGATCTCATATTAATCTTTTTTTTATTTCACTGTAGCGGTGATATCCAATCCATTTTCAAAATTCCAATTGTCAAGGAATCCGAATTTCAGAAATTCAGGAAATTTTGTAACATTGTCTGATTTCTTAGCATTGGCAAAGAATACTAGCTCTCTTTCCGGTGTCTTGATCAGCATTGAGGTGGGTTTTAGCTAAACCAACATTACTCATACATGATCCTTTTTTCGAATCATCAGATTCCTGCTTTAGCATTAGCTGCATTTTTACTCTGAACTTGCACAAGCTGTTTGCATTTAATATTCCCTTGATTATTTGTGGAAATTTTACATTTTACTTGTTGGATACACACAATACTGTGAAATCAAATGTATTATCATACTACATACTATTAGTAAATGAAAGGGTTGCTTAACTGTTTAGTTCTGGCCAGTGGAACATATTTTCTCTTTTATGTTTCTTCCCCAACTTGCAAACCATTTCACACATGGTATTAGTTTCAGTGGTTGATGGAACTTAATGGACCATCATATTCAATGGTTGCTCATTCTGGATATCTATCTGCTAGCAATCTGCATTTTCATTTCTTTTGTAGCAATAAAGTCATTGATTCCTGTGGCCAAGAATCTGTGGTTTTATGTCCACATTTCATGCAGCACAGTAGAAAAAATGAGGTTTCTTCCCACCCTGACCAATAGTTGTTGTTTGTTTTGTTCCTTTCAGAATGCAGCCTATCTTATAGAGAAGCAGGGAGTGCCCATTACTGCCACAGTACTTGATGTCTTGAGCAAAGCTGGTTTTGATAGTCCAACTTCTAAGAAAGTTATGATCGAGTCCACTAACAGCTCAGTTCTGATGAAGTTTAGGGACAAAACCAATTATGAGCTCGTGTACAGGGTTGATGAGGATATTCGAGACACTCAAGATGCAGCACTGAAGGACATCAAGAACTTTGCTGATTCTGTGATCATCAGCAAGATCTCTGTCTTTCCTGAAAGTGATTCATTCCTCACAGGTGTTACAAATGTTGTGCGAAAGCTACTATCCCAGGGGCTGTCAGTTTATGTGGAAACCTTCAGCAATGAGTTTGTATCGCAAGCATGGGACTTCTTCTCAGATTCAACTGTTGAAATTAACTCCTATGCCTCGGGAGTCAACATAAGCGGTGTTATTACAGATTTCCCTCTGACATCTGCCAGATACAGGAGTAAGTCACTAATGTTTCAAGTTGTCTGTCTGTAACAATGCAGAGCAGATCATTGTCCAAGCCGTACGTTCTGGACAAATTATTCCTTAGATCATCTAGTTCACATGAAAATTTCAGTTTAATTTCTTACTGGCAAACTATATTAGGCTTAGAAAAACAGGTTTGTCAGCATATAGAAATGTGGTTGGGAAATACCATATGACTTGAGAGTATATTTGACAGCCACTATTTGTGCTAGTCTCATTCAGATTTTAGGGAATATCCATGATAAATTCATCTGCCAGACCTGTACTGATATCTGGTTGCCATTTAGTAACACATTGCTCCATTTTATTGCAGGGAACCGATGCTTGGGCAGTGGTTTGCCTTACATGAGCCCTGCTCAGCCTGGCAGTCTCATTCAACTAATCACACCTTCTGCCATGCCCCCAGCTGAGCCTCCAAACCCAGTGTTAACTGTATCTGATGTCTCAGAGGCACCTTTGCCCTCTGCTACAGCAAGAGCACCAATTCCAGGTGGTGGAGCTACACCAACACCACAAGCACCTCCAAATGGGCAGTCCAAGATTGGTTCATGCATCTTCCTGTCCAATGTGGCTATCCTCTTCACCATTCTTTTGCTGCTTTGAAACTTTAACACGATCACTCTGTTCAAGATCATTAGGTGTCTTGTCATTTCCAATCTCTTTGCTCAAAGATGAAGAAGCTTGGAGCTTTTTGTTGAATGACTGCTCAAAGCTAATCTTTTGTTTTTTCGTTTTTTTTTTCCTTCTATTTGGGTTATTTATTGGACTGCTGTGAAGTATTCTTTTTGCCTTACTATTGTAGGTATGTTCATCCTTAATTCCCTATGTATTATGAGAAAACAAATTCTTTAGATGTAAGTTCAATGGTGAATTGATTGCCTGTTTCATGGTTGTATCATATTATTATTCTTTGATGGTGAAGCACATGGGTGGTGTGGAAGAAACTTCAAGGATAGATTTGCTGACTTTGAACTTTGAAGCGCTATTACTTACAAGGTGATCGGTTTGTTTAAACAAGAATGAAGTTGTACTAGAGGAAGGATGAAGATGCACGAGGTTTATAAAGAAGCCATTTAACTGAATGAGAGAGTGGGATTACGTCCATTTTTCATTTGTTGTTTTTAAGGATGGCTTGCAGTATTAGTACTACCTAAAAATTAAGAATTAAAAACTGAATATTCTTGTACTAACGGATTTGTAAATTAAAAAAAAAAAAAAAAAAAAAAAAGGCAAAGAAAAATCAGTTTGGGTTGTGAACTTGTAGTAATGGATGTTAATTGGTAGACGTGTACGGAAAGAGTAAGTGACACTTAAACCATTTAGAATTTTTGTAGTGAGTTTATGATGTTTGTTCAATCAGATTTGATCTCGAATCCGGAAGAAAGATTGTGTAAGAGTTTTAATCTTAAGCCAGTAAAAAAGATTAGCGTTGTAAACGGTAAGGTCTCAAGAAAAAAGGCTACCAGAATGGACTAGGCAAAGAGGCCAAACAAACAAACATCATGGTGTAATCTCTCCTTCCCTACTGTTTGAATTACTCCACTTTATTCGAACTATGTTTGAATGCTTGATGGTTGAAACGGACAACGCTGGGACCATTATTGTGAAAACTGAAAAAAGGTGTTGATTCTTTTAGGTTGTGTTTTCATAGATTTATGATTGTCTTGATTCTTACTATCATTGTTGACAAACTTTGCTTAATATTTCTTTCTTAGAGAGAGTTTACTCAATCGAGGACAGCTTTATGCTTTGACATTTCAAACACTTTTTTTTTTTTTTTTTTCACAGTATGGAGATGATTTTAGTCTTGGATTGTCATCAAATGAATGTATTAACGTTAAAAAAAAAAAAAAAAGATCATCTTTTCTAAACCCAAAACTAATTTATTTAGGTTGAAAAGTTCTACCTCCATGAAAAATTATTTTGTTTGAAAATGGAAGAGAAGAAGTGAACATTTTAGTTTGTCACCTTTTTAATGTGCTCTTTATCCTCTTTTCAAGGCATCAAGCCCTTTGTTTTATCACTGTATTATTTAAGAGAAGACTTTTCTTTCCGTAAGCATTACTTCGGCTGTAAATGTTGTTTTTGGTTCTAAAAAAAGTGGTTGCCTGACATGCACTACTTTATTATTTGCTTCTTTCACTTTCACACTACTGTTTACTAATTAGATGATAAAATGATAATTATGTCAGAAATCTTACATGCACTTAACCAAAATATAAAGCAAACCAAATCCCAACAATAATAATACATTATTTCAATTTGTCAATTATTTTTAATCTCTAGTAGTGTTTCTTTTTCAACATTACTTAAATATTTTACAAGTTTCTTATATTTTATTTCATAGTATAGATTTTTCATGAATTTTTATTGATATTATTAAGTTTTTTTTATTTAGTTTTTAGTTTTTGTTTATTTTTTCATTCATCATTTTATCATAAATTTTTTTAAAAAAAAGATAAAAAGAAAAAAATGGAGTCAATTTCAGATTAATTATTAAGGGTTTGAATTGTAATTGATTTAAAAGTTTTGTGCATCAATTTAGAGATATTAAAATTCGAAGGAAGCAATTAGGAACACTTGGGAGTGTAATCGAATCAAATTAGGATGAAGAGGAACTGAAATTGAAGGAAAAACAAGGGGTGCAAGTTTAATTGCAAGACATTTGGAAGAACGAGGACCAATTTAAATCTTTCTTTTTCTGCACAAACAGCTGACTAGTTTGAATAATTCAAGAATTTGAATTTTCAAATTTAAGTATCAGATTTTGTAGAAATTTGTTTGGATTGGTTGTTAATTTTTCATAATTCAACACTTTGAATTTTCAAATCTGAGTATGAGATTTTATAAAAAAATTTGTTTGGATTGGCTGTTATTTTTTCATTATTCAAGACTTTGAATTTTCAAATTTGAGTATCAGATTTTGTAAAAGATTTATGGGGGATTGATTGGTCATTCTTTCAGTATAAATTCAGCATTACCAAGAGAGAAAAAAAGAAAACAAGTTCAGTCTAAAAAAAAGGAAAAAAAGCTAAGGTTCTAAGGGAAAGAAAAGAAGGTTAATTTCTCTAGTTATCTGGTTAAGCAAAGAGGACATATTCATCACTTCTTCATAATCTCTCTTATAATAGGTAAGGCTTTCAAACTTTACTTTTAAACTTTATCCCTTTTTATTTGCAGTATAATGTTTGCTTCATTTGTATTTAGTGTGCTGTTTTAATTAATTTTTATTAGATAGCATGTAAAAATAATAAATAAAAAGAAGAGGGTAATCAATGCAAGGAAAGAATCATAAGCATTCAAAGAAGGAAAAAAAAATGAGTGAAACAAAACAGAAGAGTGGATCTGTAAAATAAAAATTGGAACGCAGATAGGAAAGAATTAGTTTGCATCTTCTTTGATAATTAAAAAAAAAATAAAAGGGAAAAGGGGTTCTGGCCATTAGGAATAAAAAGGGGCCGGCAGTTGGTGCAAAATAGGAATGATATATATATTTTTTAATTAATTTGAGCAGTAGTTACATATACATTGTAGGGTTGGATAACTATAATCACTGGGCTGTTTCAAGTTGGTAAGGATTAATGTCTAAAATTGACAATCAAGTCCGTAGATTTTGAGAATTTGAGTCCAAATGGCCAAATTTCAGATTAGGGGACTGTTTCGGCTTTTATCATTTTGACATGGATGTTGTTAATATTTTGTCATGCATATTTTAGAGATTGTACATATACTTGTCCTCAGCTTATTTTTTTAATTTCATATTTTTTGGATGTCATTTGACATTTACTTGCATTTTATTTTTATTCTGCTGTCCATTATTTATTGGTAAGGGACTGTTTCAAAAATTAAATTATTTGTATCCATTCCTGATTTAATTTTGCATGGAAATTTTAAGAGATATGTATATGTATGTTAACGGGTCTCTGTAAAAATTTCATCAAATTTGGACTCAATTTCGTATTTATTTTGATATTTCTCTTCCACACCATGTTATGACTATTTCAACGATTGAACTGAGCTTTACATTATTTGTTGTGGATCATTGAGTCTCCTAGAGTCTAGGGATTGATAATGATCTCATCTCAAGTTTAATATGTAGAGATAAAAAAATCTCATATTACGCTAATTAGAAAAGTTAGGTCAAGCTAACAAGTCTCCTATTTTAAATAAGGATCGATGTTGGTCTTGACAACTTACTAAAAAAAATTTTCGAATAAAAGAAACAAAAGAAAGAAAATTAGCTAGGATAGATACAAGTCGGTTAAACACATTTAGTTAATTAGGTCATTGCTCGACATGCCGATCATGTCGGGATGTAATTGGATCCGTTGTTAAATTGACGAGACTCTTAATTTTGAGGCCGATGCCAATTTAATATGAGTCCACACTAAAAATAAAACCCATTTTTTGAACTTAAACAATTAAGTTTGGAAATAGATTTAGGAAATAATTCGACAAAATACAATTCGTATGATATATTTTTTAGGATTAAACCAAACATGGTACATTTTTTTGTAAAAGATGCCTTTGGGTGATTGTTATCTTATTAAAGACATAATCAACTCTTTACTTAAATATCTCTAAATCCAGTACCCTTTTTAGGTTTCTTAGTTTTCTTTAATACTAGGTGGTGACTCCAAAACCTTTTTAATTTTTTTCTTAGCCAAAAATTTGGAAGTCCCTTAAATTTACGGTAGTGACAACATGATAACTCCATTAGGGACTCGAGTTAGGTCATATATTTATTTTTTCTTAAATTTATCTCTTTTAATTATATTTGTTATTTTTATTTCAAGTCATTTATTTCTCAAGTCATTTATTTATTATCCATTTAAATTCAAGTTATTTATTTTATGTAATTTATTTTTATGTATTCAAATTTATGTATTTATTTATTGTATTTTATGAGTTGGGTTGGATATTTGCTTAATGTTGCCGGACACATCACAAAGAAAAGCTTACAAATGCTTCGGACCCGAGCTAAAACCCCATTAGGATTTAGATAGGGAGATTTGGATAGCAAGTATGATAAAAGTTCACCGATGCTCATCTAGATTTTCGTTTGGATTATAACTCGGTCTATGCATGAGAAATTATGAAATGTTCTTCCCATACTTCTTGTTGCATAAGGTCGGAGGTTAGGTTACCTCACTGATAATCAAGACATTCTAGAGACTTGAAAAGCTTTCAAGACTAGATAATTTTGCCTAAATCCTATTAGAAAAGCTAGATCCTATTCTTTTGGGACGAGCCCATTAAGACATGACCTCTTTTGTGATGTTGCTCATGCTAATTTTTGTTTTGACAAATAGTCATGATTTGAGACTATTAACATCAAATCGATGTATCCAAGCAGATTAACATTTTACATGTATGCATTTATCTTGTATATTTAGTGCATATATTTTCTTTGAGCTATCAACGAGTCAAAAAATAGGCCACTCAACCAAAACTTAACTCTCTTTTTGGATACATTACACATGACTTTGACAACGCATAATGGAAAATGAAGAAATGACACGAGTTAGAGCGATCTAACCGAAGGAAGCTGGATGTTATGAAGGGGAAATCTCATGCCTCACTAATCTATTTGAAAGGACACC